CCATGCTAGTTCTTGTGTAACACTCTATGAATCAAAAGCATTGATAGTATCATCATTATAACTACACCTGGGTCTATAAATTCACTCACAGTCTTTGGAGTTTTAATTTCACTCTTGAATTAAACTCAGAATTGATTGTGCATTTCCCCAGGCTATATTTGACTAGCTTCAAATAAGAACAAAAACACCACATAGATTTCATGAGGAAATCATTCAGTTTAATGGATACAGTCTTATTTTTTTTGTCTTAATGGTATTATTATCTATCATTTTCATAATGTTTTGTGTTGGTACAGGCTGGATCAGGTAGATTATCACATGTATGTCATGCATATTCCATTACAGTCATCAGCTCACAGCAATTAAGTAAAATGAAATTTTTTATAGTTGGTACAAGTACTTATTTGTTTACAAGTTCAATTGGAAATTTTAATGAGCTTAAAATGTGGAAAGGATGGCATGCTTTACAATAGCATTATGCCCAAACAAGGTATCAATGACACATTTTTTATTCCTTTAATTTGACTCTTTCCAAATGTAAAATGTCAACCACGGCTTGTGAGGGCCACATGACCATTTTTAGTTTTTTGTTAGTTTTTTTTTTGTTGTTGTTGTTGTTGTTCTCATTTGCCATCAGCATAATTACTCTGAGATTCATGGGTATTGTTGCTTATATCAGTAGCTCATTCATTTTTATTGCTGAGTAATATTCCATTGTATGGATATACCACACCACTATTCGTTTATCCATTCTCCTGTTAATGGGCATTTGGATTGTTTCCAGTTTTTTACTATTACAAATAAAACTGCTATGAAAATGTATGCACATAATAAACATGCTTTCATTAGTCTTGGGTAAATACCTAGGAATAGAATGGCTGTATCATAGGGTAGGCATATATTTAACTTTCATGAAACTATTTGCTAAGTGATTACACCATTCTACCAGAAGTATATGAGAGTTCAAATTGCTTCACACCCTTGGTATGGCCATCCTTTAATTTAGCCAAATGTTAGCCATTGTCCTAGGGATACCATGTACTGCATTATATTAATAGTTTAATTTTCAATTCTGTAATAACTATTGGTGTTGAGCATCTTTTTATGTACTTATTTGCCATCTATATGTATTTGGGAAAGTGTTCATTCAAATCTTAGCTATTTTTAAGTTGGGTTGTTTGTCTTATTATTGAGTAGTAAGAGACCCGTATATATTATAGATACAAGTCCATGTTGTTGAATATATATTTTGTTGTTGAATATATATTTTGCAGATTTCGTTCTCAGAATGTGCTTTGCCTTTGCATTTTCATAATGTTGTCTTTGAAAATCAAACATTGTTAGTTTTGATGAAGTCCATTTTATTGATTTAAAATTATTTATAGTTCATGTTGTAGTTAAGGAAACTGTGCCAAACACATGGTTATTAACATTTTTTCCTATATTTTCTTCTAAAAGTTTTACAGTATAAAATTTTACATAAAGGACTATGATCCTCTGTCAGTTTATATTTGAATAAGAAATGAAGTTAGGCTCAATGTTCATTTTTGTGGAAATGGTTATACTATTGTACATTGTCATATTTTGAAAAGATCCTTTTCCCATTGAATTGCCTTGGCATCTTCTCAAAAACCAATTGGCCACATATGTTTCTATATATTTCTGGACTCTGTTGTCTGTTTCATTGATTTATCTGTCTATAAATAGGCCCATACTATATTACCTTGATTAATATAGCTTTATAATAATTCTTGGAATAAAGTAGTTTGAGTCCTTCAACTTTGATCTCCTCACTGCCAAAAGTTGTTTTCGCTAATCTAGATCTTTTGTATTTCCACATAACATTTAGAATCAACTTGTCAATTTCAACAACAATAACAACAATAAAATGCTTCCTGCGATTTTGAATAGGATTGTACTCAATCCATCTACTAACTTGAGGAGAATTCACATCTTAATGATATTGAGTTTTTGATTCATAAACATGATATATCTAATTTATTTAGGTCTTCTTTAAATTCTCTCAGTAATGTTTGGTAGTTTTCTGTGTAAGGCCTTGTGTATATTTTCTCAAATTTATCTCTGTGTACTTTATATGTTTTGATGCTATTAGAAATGATACTTTTGTTTTAATTTCTGATTATTTGTTGCTATTAAATAGACATACATTTAATTTTAGTATCATTTATCTTGCCACCTTATATCCTGCAAACTTGCTAAGCTAACTTATTAGTTATACTAGCTCTTTGTCTATTCCATCAGCTTTTGTGCATGAATGATCATGTTGTTTGAGAACAAAGATGATTGTTCTTCTACTTCCCAAACTGAATGGCTTTAGTTTCTATTTTTGCCTTATTCCATTGACTAAACCTCAAGTACAATGTTGAATAGAAGTGATAAGAGTGGATATTGTTGCTTTATTCCTGATTTTAAGGAATATTCAGTCTTTTACAATTAGGTATAGATTTTTTTCATACATATTCCTCATCAGGATGAGAAAGTTCCCTTCTTATTCCTAGATTTGATAATCTGAATCAGGAATGAATGTTAGGCGTTAGTAATTTTTAGTTAGTATTAGTAATTGTTTTCCTATAATCTGATAATTAAATCATTTTTCATTCATTGTTAAAATTGCAAATCACATTTATTAATTTTAAAATATTAAACCAACCTTGCATTCCTTGTATAAACCCCACTTGGTCATGATGTATTATTTTTAACATCTTGTTGGATTTGATTTCCTATAAATTTTTTAAAGAATTTTTGCATCTATGTCAATGAGGGATGTATGTCTGTAATTTATTTCCTTTTTATGCCTTTGTCTTTTTTTTTAAGATTTTTGGGGGAGGGAACAGTGTTGGAGAATTGGGGAAGGAGAACATTGTGTTTTTCCAGGTCCCATCAACTCCAAGTCAAGTTGTTGACCTTCAATTTTAGTTGTGGAGGGCACAGCTCAGCTCCAAGTCCAGCTGCCACTTTCAATCTAGTTAAGAGGGGTTCTGGGGAGAGGGGGCACAATCCACCATCCCATGAGGGAGTCAAACCAGCAACCTTGTTGTTAAGAGCATGTGAGAACCAGCTGAGCCATCTGGCCACCTTGTGGCTGCTCAGCTCAGGCACAGCTCACTGTCCCTTGTGAGAATTGAACCAGCAACCCTATTGCTCAGAGCTCACGCTCTAGCCAGCTGTGCCACCCAGCTGGCCCGCCTTTGTCTTTTTTTGATATAAAGGTAATTCTGGCATTATAGAATGAATTGGAATGTTTCCCCTTCTTTTTTTATTTTCAGTTATTGTAAAGACCCCGAATGACAGAAGAGCTTGAGATCCAAACATATTACACTTTGATAAAAATATAGCACTTTCTCTAACTGAATCATTCCCTAACTTTAGTGTGCATGAGAAACTACTGAAAATTTCTTTTAAATAAAGATTTTGATTTAGAAGGTACAAAATGGATAACATAGTTTGCAGTAACAAAGAAAAGCAAATCTCCCTTAGGTTATTCTGATATAGGTGATCCGTTTTCTGAGGATTCTTAGTCTATTCAGTGGTTCTCAACGTATGTTTCACAGAGCAGCACCATTAGAATCACTGGGGAACTTCTTAAATATACAAATATTCTGTCCTCACTTCTGACTTACTAAATCAAAAATTATGGGAGAGAAAGTGGCAGTCTGCCCTTCAATAGCCCTCAAGGTGACTCCAATGCATACAAAAGTTTGAGAATTACTGGATTATGTTAATAAGAGAAAAACAAAAAGCTATAGATAAGGATGCAGTTAATTATATATATTTTTGTTGTGAACAGAGATGATTTATTCTATACTGACTTCCATTCCTTTGTAAGATACATAGAAGATCTGAGAGTGAGAGAGGTGAGGCTAAGTCAGATGCTTGAGCAGTGTGGAGAAGTCTGAGTAGTCAGTAAGAGAACGAGGAAGCAGGATGATGAGACCGTTAGCCACTGCTAGATGTCTGCTTAAGCAATGTGGTTGTCAACCTTTATTGATGTCCATCTTCCCAATTGTGCAATCTTCTCTCTAATTCTGACCTGTTCAAGGTAGAGGGGTGGAGAAGGCAGGGTCTTGGATTCATACAGTTATTTTGCCAAATGGGTAAAAGGGAAGGAGAAAATGATACAGCAATTGAGGGTATTTGCAAGAAAGTGAATTGCTGTAATCATGGACCATAGTCTCTATGCTGTATAAAGAGAGAAATAAGACAAGAAGAGGATAATTAACAGAAAGAAAGTTCTGAGATTGATGGATAAAAAAGTCTTCATGAGATTGAAGAACTGTTTCAGTAGATGTATTTTAGAAAATTAGCTGGGAGTGTAAATGATAATGGCTGAAAAGTAAAATGCTTGTTTATGAATTCTTGTTGCTTTTATGCAATAAAAAGCTGTAATGTATGACCTTGATAATAAAGGTTGAGATTGCTGTGCCAGATCATTGGTATTGAAAAGTCACAGAATGGATGAATAAATATTCACATGCATATTGAAGTCCTCTTTCATTAGTGATGTCAATCATAGTGGTAGGTGGCTGAATTGGAAATTTATCCAAGGACCAAATCATAAAGTATGGTGGCATCAGTATCACATGATATAAACCAGAAGTCATCACTGAAACAAGAAAGTTCTGATGGACACATATTTGTTTTTCTAGCAGATTATTTTGAATCCCATCATAATTTCAAAAATGTGTGTCCTCAGTATGTCCTAAAGTCATGGAATGTCTTTTGATAATAAGATTCATAATTGTGATATCTTTGTATGAGTTGTGATTTAGCCATGCAGATAAAAAAAAATAGCAACCAGCTATCCTATAGACCATTGCAAAGAAACTGAATCACAATCATTTCCTCATGTTTTCCTATTCATGACAGGAACAAAAAAGTTTGTGTTGAAAGGCTCCTACCAGATCAGAAGTACAAGGATGGAGGTTGTCTCTACTGTGCCCTGCTAACATCTATTCTAATTCTGTTTTTCAAATTCACAGAGAGTGAAGAAGTTTATCAAAGGCAAGTGCTGTCAATTTCGTGTATCATCTTTGGAATTATCATCGTGGGCATGTTCTGTGCAGCATTCTACTTCAAAAGCAAGTAAGATCATTTTTTCTCAAGTGTTAAAAGGTTGCTTCTCAGAGGAAGCACTTTGTCTTTCTTTAAGTTCTCAGCCTTATCTCCAGGCAGAGGGATCTGTGCAAATGTGTCCATCAAACATCTACAAATGCTTAGAATCTTTTGTAGACTGTAGTGAGTGTGTATAGCATGTGTATACATGTGTGTGGTTTATCTTTCATGCACACAGTTATCATGAACACTCCATGTTCTTTGCACATTTTGATCACCTGCCAGAATTAAATGCTCAGTGTCTGTCTGTGACTAAGGGGTTAACTCTTCTGAACAGAGAGGTCACTGCTATAGACCTAACATTATCAACCAGTATGTAGCCTTAAAAAAATGGATGGATAGATAGATAGATAGATAGATAGATAGATAGATAGATAGATAGATAGATGATAGATAGAGATAGTTAGATAGAGATAGAGATAGAGATAGAGATAGAGATAGAGATAGAGATAGAGACACATATATCCACACTTTCCCTTTAACAGTGTTTTTATGTGATACCCATAAAGGGGTTTTAGCCAAATAGGAAATATGAATACTATAAAATCTATTTTGATTCAGTTGGTATGCACATCTCAAATATGCCCTATAATTCCTTGGCCTAAAAACCAGACTTTCTGCAGATAAAGGTGCTTATTTGTGACTAAAAAGCAGAATAAAAAATATACATAACATATATATGTGTGTGTATATATATATATATACACAAGTGTATATACATGTATGTTTATTTTCAATGAATTTTGATAAAGATATTTTATTTACAGAAATGACTTAATCTACACTTAAAATAGAAACTGCAGATAAAAATATTAAATTTCTTGGTTTCTTGTAAGGCATATAGGCATAAAGAAGTTGGCACAGATTCTATTCCTACAGCTTGTCTGAAATCCACACCAACGCATAATTGCTTTTCATTGGATATATATTTTTCTACCCATTTGCTCTTCTCAAAATGGATCAATTTCTAGATATAGTCTGTGATACTTCTCTGCATGTTGTATATGTTGATCTTTAAAAAGAACAGCCATTATGGTTTAAAAAATTAATGGAAACTCAAGTATAAAATCAGAATTCCTAACTATTACTTTTAATAAACTATTTCAGAATAGGTTTAGATTTTCAGAATTATTGTGAAAATAGTAAAGATAGAGCCCATATCCCCCAGATCCAGCTTCCCCTATTATTGTCTTTTATTAGTATACTGCCTTTAATATTGATACATTATTATAACTAGGGTTCATACTTCCAGATTTCTTGAGTTTTTACCTAACGTGCTTTCTTCGTTCTGGGGCCGCATCAGGATACCACATTACATTTAATTATCACATCTCCTAGGCAACCCTTGACTGTGACAGTTCTTAGTGTTCATTTTTAAGCACTTACTCTTTGTCAGAGACACTGGGCTTTTCATGGATTATCTCCCAATCCTCACGACAATTGGAATCGTGCATTATTGCTGTATTTTTCAAATAATATTAGAATTTCACTTTAAAATATTAATTTATCAAAGCCACACAGTAGAAAATTGCAGAGAGGGTCTTTGAATTCCCGTGGTTCTAGTTTCCATCACATACTCTAAACCACTCTACCACATGGGCTCACATTGTCCTCCCACTAGCAATGCAGCTGCCTCAAGTGAGTCAGGAAAGTCATGTCCTAGTGATCGTATTTCTCTAAGGAGGTTGTGTGGCATCCTGGTCAGGATTTTCTGTATCAGCCAGGCCTCTGTTTAAATCTTCAGGTTGCCACTTACTTGTCATGTGTTATTATGCAAATTACATCATGTTTCTTAGTCTCAGTTTCCTTTGGGGTAAAATGTGGCAAAAATACTATCTACCTTCTAGAATGTGTTAAGGATTAATGGGATAATACTGTAAAGAGCACACTATAGTGTTTAAAAGAGTGAATACTAAATGAAGTCTTGCTATAATTTAACACCTCGTTTCCCACACTGGAACTTAGAGGCTGGGTAAGGACTAAGTGAAGAGTGTGCACGAGAGCATGAGAGGGGTAGTCACACCCCACAGGGCGTTAGGAGGGTCTCCTTGAACGGGCTGTGTGCAAGAAAGAAATTGTGTATTTAACAATAAGCAAATTACTATGAAGAAGTACTTAATCACCTATTTATAGAGTATAATTGGTAGTGGTGCCACATTTACCTGAAAGACTGATTATGACAATCACAAGAACAGAGAAGAGCTGAGTAACTAGAGGATTCCATCTTCAGGGCTGTCAACTCTCCCTCTCTGGGCAGCAAGTGGGCTCGGAGATTAGCGTCTTTTCCTGGGGCTCAGAGAGTTGTCAGAGAGTTTAATGGAAATACTGCTCAACATCAGATTCATTATGGGCAGCTCAGAGGACTGACCCGATGGAGGAACACTAGTCAGGATGTTGTCTCTCTGCCTGCCCAGATGGGACACATTTTTATGAAAAAGTAAATAAGAAGTATGAGAATACTAAAGTAATAATAAAAATTGAAGCCTTTTCCAAGTGGAGTTATAGTTATCATTAGAGTATATTTCCTTCCCCGTGCAATTTCCACGCATGGTCTTCCTTTATTTTTCTTTGCCTGAGAGGAATACCAGACCCCACACCAAGCATTGAATCTATATAGCTGAAAGCAATGTTAATTTCTGTTACACCCTAGCACAAGATTCTCTGTGCTCATTCGTGGATTTCTAATTCTCTTCCCGAAACCTTGAGCACACTACCTTGACCTTTCCTTACTTTCACACACACTCTAAGGTTGTTTGTATGTGTATAATTTCTTTACTCAACTTAGAACTGCCAAGTCTTCTAGGATTCTAGGATCTTTCTATCACTGGTTTCCAAATACATTTTATTTCCAAATAAATTCTGAATTTTCATTTTATATACTGGGATGTATAGTTCCTGGCCATGGAAAGTCAGGATTTACGTGAAAGCTCACATTCTCTTGGTCATTTATATTTTAGTTCCCATAATCCTTCAGATCCCACCTCTCTGATTCTGTCTTCATTCTCTCATCACCCTTGGTATGGCATGACCTCACCAGATGGACGATTACAGCAAATTATTAGGTGATGAAAGTTTGAAGGCAGGTAATATGATGCAGTAGAAGTGAGGAATGCCTTGAATTCAGAGGATTTTCTGACTAAGTTAATTAAACCCCTACCATTCTAAAGTACACAATGAAAGAAATTCTCATTGCTCCAAATAAGTCCATATAGTCCCATAAGTAGCTAATAGAACTATTAATTGAGCCTTTGAAATCTGGCTGACATGGCTCACATGGAAACTATAAATTCTTGCAGGTTTCCTTTGCAATTTCAACTCACGTGGGTAAGACGTGTGAGGCTGGCTGTAGGAGTCTTTGGAAATGCAGGACATGATTTATTGTAACTCTAAGAACAGAATTGGGATGGGGGGGAAGTTTCAGGAGCAGAAGCTGGGGCCAATAATTATCACAAGTGGGAAAACATGGGGGACAAAGGAGAGCTCGTGCTAGCAGTAAAAAGCTGATAATGGTAGCCACTTGCCCTGACTGCTGGTTATCACCCTCTGAAGTAAGAGATTTTAGGTCACGAAGAAAGCCTCTTATGGATGGACAGTCAGTAGATGCTCTGATATATGCTCTATGCTTTCTTCAGCAACGAAGGTCTTAGATCCCCAGTTGCTAAAACCCAGTCATGATAAGAGTTACCTTTCTCAGGCACATGTTCTCACCTGAGATAGCCCACATCCAATGACAGGGCAATGTGAGGCTTTGAAGGCCTCAACTTTTGTCCCAACTTGGGGCATAAGGCCATGCCAGTTTCAAAGCTTCCCTTGGAACTTGCTGAGCTCTTCACTGAGGCTGCATCACATTCCAGCATCTCCCTCTGCCCAGCCCTGCTTCCGTCCCTTTGCTTCCACAGGTGTTCACCCCAAGAGCCCTCCCTAATGAAAACCCTGCAGGTTCTCTCAGTCTCAGCACCTGGTTCCCTAGGAGCCCAGCCAGCAGTGTGACAAGTAATGTTTGTCAACAGGCTGTGATACCTGATAGTCTATAACTACATCTCATTCCCTTCTGATTAATTGGGCCAGCGAAACTTAAAACTCAACGAACCATACAGTTTTAACACCGACATTGTTAGGCTAGCAGGGTCCCTGTGTGCGAGGCCCGTATCTTGTCTTCCCCAGAGTAACTGCTCTCACGAGAGGGCTAATGATATTGCGATCAGACACTGCTCATTTCCTCTGCTCCCATTTTCTGGGGGACAGAAGGAAAGAGGAAAAATGTGCATGCCTGGGAGAGGGGAGGGATGATGGAGAAGAAGGCAGGCGCAGAAAAGACAGCCCATTTATCCTGGAGCATTAGCGAGTCAGGGCTTGAGTGAGAAGGAAGTAAAGGAAAGCAAATTATAAAAGGATTTAGGAAACTCAGTCTGACATTTTATGAGGAAAATTCCTTTAGAGGTTTACGTTTCCCAGACACTGAATTATGGAATGACTTAAAAGGTAGTGTTTCTACTATTTAATTCTCAGGAGAATAATTGGGTCCTCGTCCAGTGCCAGGCTCCCTCTGCTGCTTCATGATGATTTCTTCAGGTAGACTGTCTGCTTCATCAGTGAGTCCCTGATAGGATTGTGTGGCTCCAATGTGCTTCTTAAAATGCTGATATGATAGATTTGTTTTAAACAACAGGCTACAGATTAGCTGTTAGGAAGTGGATAGATTGTTAAGACTGGATTAAAGCAACTAAGAGTCCTGGAGACAGAAGCCCCCTAAGTAACTGAAAAGATAAAAGAAATGTTTACACAAACAGAGAACATCACCCTGGTGTTGCAAGTTCAAAAGAGGCAATGGTGCTCTGAACCTCCAAATCCTATGGCAGATACTGTCACTTGCTTGTGAGAGATGCCATTAAGATGATCTTTTCCTTTATCTTTGAGCCAGTGTTTTGATTCCTCTGTAGCATCTGCCCATACAAGTAAGCTTGCTCAATGATGAGGAAGGGGACTTATTTACACTTCACATGGGCTTTCACATTTAGTTTCCCTAGTATCCATGAAAGAGAGCTTTTACAAACTCCGTTTACAGACAAAGAAACTGAGGCTCAGGAAATTTAAGAAATGAATCATTTTAATGTAGGAAATCTAAACAAAACTGGTGGATATTATTAGAGCTGGGATTCAAATCCCAATTCCTCTGATACCTGAGCCCATGCCCTGTAGAGTGCTGCCTGGCTGGAGAAGCTCCCAGCACTAGACCAGTCCACGTATGCCACCAAAAAGGAAGAGGCAAAGTTCAGGGGAGATGATTCTGCAAAGCTTTTTCGTTTGCATGGTTTGGTTCATTTTGTTTGTTTGTTTGTTCGTTTTATGGGTACTGAGTCTTCTGCTGGTAGATAATGGCTGTAAAGCTCTTGGGAGAGGACAGCTTGGCAGTAATTTGCTGCTTCCCTCTGGCTTAGCCAGCCAATGAATAACTCAAACAGTCACCCCACATATGCAGGCAGGCGTGCTTTACTTGGAGCCCAAAAACTGAGAATAGCCTCAGCCTTCCCACTGAGAGGCTTTGGGGCCACAGGCAAGTGGTCTGGCGGTTTTGAGTCATAGTGAAGAGTAGAGTATGCAGCCAGACTGGCTGGATTCAAGTCCAGCTCGACCACTTACTAGCTATGTGACTCTGGGAAAATTCTTTAATTTAACTTTTTGTGCCTCAGTTTTGTCATCTACTAAATGGGCATAGAATCAATGCCTTGTCACAGAATTTTTGGGAAGAATAAATGAGTTGATACATGGAAAACACTTACAATGATGCTTGGTACATAGTAGACACTCTAAAAGTTAACCATTTTTGTGATTTACAAAGAAACAGTTACAAAGGGATAAAATTCTTTATATTCAGGGTTGATGGTAACAATAAATTAGCTGTTTCTAAACTGTAAAAAAGAAAATACACACATTATGGTACGTATGTCAGCCATGCAGTCAAACTGTACATAATTGAATTGTACGCATATAAATATAACTTTGTAAGTATGTTATATGTGGCTGCTAGGTCCAAGCATCACATTTTCTTATGGGTTACTCCTTCATAGCATTTCTAATTCTTTGCAGCTGAGCTCTCAGTGTTAGGGACCTCTGGCACCTATGGGGGTGAGGACAACGCATTATGTTTCTATCTGCCTTCAGAGCACAATTGGATGTGAGTCCCTGGATGATGGTGGATAATGCCACCTTCTCTCAAAATTGGAAGTATTTCTTGGTGGGGTTGAAAATAAGAGAAGGATTCTCTTTGTTAACGAAGTTTACTTAGCTTTAGTAAGTGACACATATAGGTGATGGGAATGAGTGAACTTCAAAAAAATATGCATAGAGTTCATTTATGTAGCTATTTATACATTTATTTCTTTAAACCTGCAGGAAACAAGCTAAACAAATTCAAGAGCAGCTAAAGGAGCCACAAAGTGGTAAAAACTACAGCCTCAAAGCATCCAGCACAATGGCAAAGTCAGAGAGCTTGGTGAAGAACCATGTCCAGCTGCAAAATGTAAGTCACATGTCTCTGCATCTCTTCCCACAGCCCCCTCAGTGCTCCCGGCCCAGAGAGGGTAGGGGGCCTGCAATCAGGCATATATATATATATATATACATATGGTATATATATATGGTTGTCGGAAAAGTCACGACACATTTTTGCAACAAAAAACATAGAAAAAATATGTCATGACTTTTCCGATAACCATATACATATATATATGTATATATATATATATACATATATATATATATTAATATTTTGTAGATTTTTTTTCTTAATTCATCTAGCAATTCTCTATGTGCACATGAACAAAAATGTGTGCTGGATGAAAGAGAAAAATTAAATATCAGCTCTTGATTACGATTGGTAATGTAAATTAGTCTCTGGAAGCAAAAAGAGCTTCAGCTATTTGTTCTATAATCACTTTTAAGTCCTTACTTTATGCCAGAAATTGTGCTGAGCACCAAGGATACAATGATACATCTGGGAACTTATGTATAATAAGAAATACAAACACCAGAATCAGAGGTGTATGGGCCAAGATGGTTGCTATTGCAACAGAGAGGAGACCAACGGAAGGCAGGCAGGGGCAGACATACAGGCTGCTTCTTAAGGAAGTCAGGCTTGAGCTGGGTTTTGAAGAATATGAAAAGCTCATCAGATAGTCAAAGAGCAAAGGACAAGAGACTAGAACACACAGAAAGAATAAAGTCATGTAATCCTACATATGCATGCTATGTTTAGACACCTCCAGGGTAAGGAGTATGAGAGAAGTCAAAGATGAGACAGCTGGGAGGTGAGAGTTGTGGTCGCATAGTCATACTTCCTAACACCAGGCTTAAACAGATACCAGAACTTGAAGTTAAATACAAACTCTTTGAATCCTACATTTTTCTAAAGTAGTTTGAATCATTTCTGAGATATATTTCAAAACACTTAAGACAAGTGAATGTCATCTACAACATATGGAAACATTCCTCTCGGGTAGCAACTCTGCCCCCACACAGGACTGCACTTCCAGATTCTGAGGCACAAAACAAAAGAATAAAGGCCATGGTATAAACCTGGTATTTGAGTATAATAGGCAATCACTCAGAACACATGTGCATCCCTCCAAATGTGTAAATCAATGGGAATTTATACATCATTTGTAATTCTAAGAAACCATTACGGAAGAGTCGCCATTATGTTGGGCATAACAGATGTACTTAGATGTTTAATGTGGAATTCATAAATCATAGTTGTTTCCCAGCAAAGTTTTGTTTAACTTGTAATCATGGCTATTTGTGGGGATTTTTCTTCACTGAAGCAGAGAGAATATTTTGCTAATGATTTCTAATGAGTAATATCTCACCACTCTAAATCAAACGCAGTGATGGAGGGCTTCAATTACTCAGCAGTGGGGCCTATCAAAGATAAGCAAAGCCAGCCCTTAGTTAAAGTAGTAAGGACAGATTGAAATCAGTAATACACTAATGTATTATGGAAGAAGGTCTAGTGTGAACTAAACTCAACTTCAATTACAGAGGTCGCTGGGTGTTTTAAAGAAAAAAATGAGCAAATAAGGAAGGGAAACAGTGGGAGCTTAAGAGTCAGGAAAGTGAAAAATGACAGAGTTGGTCAGTGTAAATGCGATTAGGCCAGCTGTGTCTCTTAGTTGGCCATTATTGAATTTAGGAGTCTGTACTTCCACAGAGGCTGGGAGACAGAGGCCCTATCCTTCCTATTGATTACATTTCAAAGAAATGGCTCTCAGGTCCTTGAGAGACAGAGTTGTAGGAGATGCATAGAGATCTCAAAGTGACAAAGGAAGGTTTACAATTTGTAAGCTCTTTTTAGTAAATGTTCTAGAAAAGGGAGGTCAGAGGCCTGTGCTCAGGTGTTGACTAGAAAAAACAGTAAATTCTTTGGAAGGCCTTGAATTTGTTTGTTTGTTTGTTTGTTTTCAGGCAGGCCCTTTAAATGGGACTAGGGTCATCCTAGGGGTACAGCTTTTCGCTGTTAGAAGCTACGTTAGAGTTTACTGGACTCTTTTCATGTGGTGGTGAATGAATTGAATCCTTTGTGCTGAGTATCTGCAATTTTGATAGGCCAAAGTTGAGGCCTGGTCAAAAGAAGAGCTCAGGGAAGCCTGACTCTCTAAAGTTTGGTCAAGAGGAGTCTTTGTCAGTCCCTACGCATTTTACAGGGTTGCAGCCAGAACACACACAGAGTTTTGAATCCTTTTCTACACCAAACATGATTAATAGCATTTTCTGTCTGATCTATGATCTCTACAAACTCATTTATATGGGAGATGGCATAATGGTTCACAGAGTGGCCACTCACAGCTTTCTCATCTTTCCCCTCCTCATGAATATTCATGTTCTTTCCTATTGCTTACTATTAAAGCAATATTAAAATAAACTTCACTCCTGGGCTCCTCCCAGCCTTCATTTGACTGGAATTATTAGGGTTAGAATAAAAAGAAAGAAATTACTAAGAGTGGGGATGCCAACACTTGGGCGACCTTTGGGTGCAGGTGCTTTTGTTTTGTTTTCCTCTCCCTCTTCCCCCTGTCCAGCCTGCCCCTCCTGGACATTGTGCCTGTTAGCACAGGGCAGCAGACTGTGGGCTCAACTGGGTCCTTCCCGTAGGGACCCAGATAAGATGTGGAAAAGTGTCCTTATATATTTACCTGTTTTTATTAAAGAGGGTGTATATACAGGACCTTTTGTATCTGAGTTGTGATGTGGTCGCCTAGGATAACACATTTCAAGGGATCATTGGTTTAAAGGGCTGCAGAAATTGGGAGTTCTGGCAGAGAACAGATAGGAAAGGATGGCATTTAACGACCTTGGAAAAGGAGAGGAGGTGCATTGAAGAGACATGCACGTCAATGCGCTGGGGCTAAAGAAATACTTTTCCTCCCACATTCTACGTTCTTCAAGCTGGGCTAACAATTCAAATGACATACAGCAGATTAGCTGGACAAAATCAAATTTTAATACATGCCCATGGGGAATTCACATAAGCATTAAAATTCCAAAGACAGTGAGGAAAAAATGGGTATATATGACATTTTGGACAAAGGAGAAAAGGGAGGACCAGGGTCTTAGATTTTAAAAGTGAAAATGGGCATTTTATGGATAGTTGAGAAGCAGCAGGAACACACATGACAGGCAAGTTCTTGCTTGGCAACCCGGAAACAATGGGACTCGGGGTGATCTAGTTACCAGGCCCCTGCCTTCCTATCTACTATACTTAATTCAAATTAAACTAAGATGAATATGCTACGATTTCCTTCCTGGAGCATGTCTTTCCATCTGAATTTCTTGGGCAGGAAAGGGGGAGCGTCAAAGGTTTTTTTCTGAATCTTTTGTTTTTTAATAATCAGCTTAAAATCAATATCCCAAAAGGCCATTTTCGGGCGGCAAAACTTTGGTCCCCTTCACCAGGCATCGCATTCTACGCATTGTCAGCTTGGGCTCAAGGGACTGCCACAGCAGGTACCTTCGACAAGACTAGAGAGAGATGAATAAATTGCTCTCCCAAAGGCACATACCAATTTCTGGGCTAGAAAGCAATGTGGGTCACTACCAGCTTTGTTATCCCTTTGTCAACATTTCATTTGCTAGTTTAATAGGAGAAAAATGGTATATATTTTTAATTGACCTTTCACTATTTGAGCGTGTAAGTATAATCTCTGTCCATATATTTCAGTCAAATTTCCACTATGGTGAATTACACGCTGATATTGCTCCTAATTTTATTACAAGAATCAAATAACAATTCAACTGCAATTTCTCATGCCATTTGTTATGGGAGAAAATAGTAATGAAGAATACATATTAATACTCCATTAAAAAAGAACTGAAAATTTTATGAACATTTGCTTTCCTTCAATGCTATGCTTAACAAATACAAGAGGCACATAGGACATCTGTGCAGGAGGTCAAGTAGCGCAAGTAGTCTTAAGGAAAGCAGTAATCTGATGTGTGGCTAAGAATTTCTGTGTGCATATTAAAATGCAAATGCATTGAAGAAAAATTGGGAAAGCATTTTTCCTTTGTAGGTCTATATATCTTTTTTCTTCTAGCAAGAGCTATGAGGAAATACCAATGTCAATGATAATAGCAAAAAATGATAAATGAAACAGATAATAGTAATAGCAAATAACATGTATTGGTTACATACATGGTATTATGCTAAATGATCTATAAGCATTGTCTCATTTAGCCCTAACAATAATTACTTAATTTCCACCCATTATGTAAAGAAGAAGAAAATGGGGCTCAAAGCTTGAGAAAGTTAACTTCTGTCAGACAGCTTGTGAGTAGCTGAGAGACAAAACCACATCCTTATAACTCAGTGGCATTCAAAAAGGGGGCAATGTTGCCCCAGAAACATTTGGCAAAATCTGGGAATACTTTGGGTGTTACGACTTAGAAGGGAAGTGCTACAGGCATCTATGAGTAAAGAGCAGAGGTGCTGATAAATATCCTCCAATGCCCAGGATAGTCCCTCACAACAAAAAAGTATCCTTCCCAAATTTCATGTGTGGTGAGCAAGTCCAGAGTCCAAGCTCAAATTGCAAAATGTGCCCATTAGGAAATTCTGAAAGTCTACCACCGGAGTTCTATCACAACCTTCCCACTGCGAGCATTTATTTTCACTACATGGTGGGTGCCGGTTTATCTAGGAACACTATAATTTTCCCTTGGAGGGAAAATTTCCTACTTGCTTACCATATCGGGCAAATCTGTCTTTATTTTATCTTGAAGCCCAGGTTAGCTACTTGAAATTCTTTGCAAATTGCAGTGTTTAACAAATGAATGTCTGTGTCTGGCATTCCCTTAAGTTCATTGCACATTCATGGGAAAGGGTTTCCCTTACAGTCATGTAACAAGACGTGAAACTCTTAGTTCAGTGAAGCGACATGACAGCCTGGAAACGCTCGACTCAGGCTGCAGAACCAGACCTGGCAGGGGCTTAGAAGCACCTAGCTCCTACCCATCATTTACAAGGGA